GATGCTAATATTCAACATTGACAATAATGCCAAGAATGAGTGTTATTGGATTAAGGTTATACTTTGCACGAATGCAGTTACTTATAAACGTGGAGTATTGATTTTGTTAAGTAAGCTTGTTTGGTGAACTTCATTCTGGGCCAACTCTGATCCCCTCATAATTGGAACCACAGTTGGAGCTGGTTAAAGGCGTTAAGTTTCCGATCTGGTTAAAATTGGCGGTCCAGGTCTGATTTCAGGTCGGTTATGGACCTGATTTTTGACTTGACCTATATGAATTAACCAATATCGCTCATCCAAGCCGGTGAATTAGATCTGCACATATAATACGAAAAGGTAAAATAAATGAACAAAAAATAAAATTAAACTTATTTCTCAAATTTGTTTACGGGGAGTGATTCCAATGAGAACACTCTTTATTGTGAGAATGAGAACAAATTTTAACCACATATCTTCGTAAATTAATGGTCAAAAGAGGAGTAGATGCACAGATGTACAATGGGGGTGCAAACCCTTAAAAAAAATCATGTTCTCTCTCTCCTAATCAAACGTAGGTTAGATGGACACGATAGATTTTTTTTTTTTAAAAGATCATACGGTTGAAGGTTTCATTTCCCTAAAAACTAGGTAATAATAAATCTTAAATCATATAAAATTGCTTTAATTTATAAATTGATTTAACTTCTTAAATAATAATCCGATTTTTAAAAAAATATACCAAATTAAATAACTTTTTATGCTCTTTCATATGATACCAGAATGTCATATATATTCTTTTAAAAAAATATGTATAAGATGTATACAATAAAGAACAACAAACATCTCCAGCTACGGGATACACAAGAACCTGTATCTAACACACAATCACCGATATCTAATGCATATGAGCCGGTCTCATAATCAATAGTAGTTCGCCAAAAAAGAAAGTGAAGCTTGTCGTATATAATACACTAGCAAGGCACACGCCATGCGCGGGGCTATGTGCCCAATCCAAGTATCATGATTTTTAAGTAGTGAATGAATATTGAAATGTAGAGATATCAGAAGTATGAGTTTAAGAAAGAATATTTAGAATTGATTTTAAAGAACTAGTCAATGTACATATCACAAATGTACATCACCGCTTACTAGTGTTGTCAGTAAAGATTAAAGAACTCTAGCATATAGTGTGACCACTTCTCTAGTAATTGTGTGGCATCCAAGGCACATTGGCACATATAACATGAGCAACTTGAGAGGCGCTGATGTAATGAATCATAAGTATTTTGCAGAAGTTACCTTAGATAATAACAATATACCTTCTTTACTATATTGTTTATGTGTAATTGTGTGAAAAAATAGCTAGCTGACTAAAAGAAGTTGTTAACACATCCAAAATTCAGTGTAGAGTTACCATCAAATTAAAACACGGTATGAGAAGTTAAAACATCACCAACACATATGTTTATCAGGGATTCAACTTCATCCTTGCAAGTGTAAGATAGTAAAAGTTGAAATTAAACCCATCTTGAAGCGTTTTCCCAAATCTACCTCAAAAGTACGGCAGATAAGAGGACTATTTTTTAAAAAGTTCATAATTCATAAAAAAATCTTCAGTTATTAAACAATCCACTCTTTCCTATTTTTTCTCTAACGACACATCCGATAGCATCCGAATCTTGCATTCCAAGATTCATTTTTAAGCGGCACTATCAAATGAATGGTTGGTTGGATTTAGTTCTCATTTCTCTCCTTAGGGAGTGGTTCCTTTGAGAAAGGACTCTTAGGAGAGAAATGAGAATGAATCTGGACAGTTTGATTGTATTATGTGAAATTAAATTGTGCATTTGGTAAAACTGAAACGTGCATTAAGTGAAATTAAAATGTGCAGAATGAAAAGTAAAACTCAAATGTGCATTACGTGAAATTGAAATGTGCAGAATAACTGGCTCAAAAATTCCACTACATCGTAGTTTTTATTTTGCACATTTCAGTTTCCCTTGATGCACAATTGAGCTTCACATAATACCAATGTGTCTACCTTTTGTGCTGCACATTTTGATTTCATCTAATGTACATTTCAGTTTCACTTAATGCACATTCAATTTCACAGAATACGATCTAACGTTCCAGAACCATTCTCATTTCTCTCCTAAGATCATTTTCTCACTTGAACCTAATTCTCTCTATATAACTATTAGATTCTTATTCCTCTTGCGGGGTAGATTACAACAATGGTTTCAAGAACAAGGCCGAATTCTAAGTGACTTGCCTCTAGGTCGGGTCAAGTGAAAAGGGATATTGCCAAAAATAATGCTAAAAGAAAACATAAGGACAAAAATAGGACCATATTCAAAAAAATTCAAAAAAGTGACTAATAGACCGTTTATGCCTCAATCTAGCCTCCGGTGACTTCAGTCCTAGCAACTTACAGCCGATAATGACCCAATAAAGTGTAATTAATTGAAGTTGGAATGTGGGAAATATACCTTTGTTCCTAAAATATGTTACGCAGTACTTCTTGATCATAATGAATAATGATTGACTATTAGACTATTTTATATATATAAATTATGTACGGAGTAATTCTTAAGGAGTAGTTAGTGACTAAAATTTATGAAACCCTTTTTAAAATCTTCGTAATGTGCTGATCTTCTTGTAAGTATACCTACTTGAAAGCATCTTCAATCTCAAAATGTACATGACGTACATGTAGTATGAAAGAGATAAACACTTACATATTACGTAGTACTAAGCAAAAGATCTCACACACATGTTGATAAGTTTTTCTTTACAATACCAAAATGATGGTCTAGAGTGGACATTGTAGATAAAACTGTGAAAGGAAAGACAGAAAAATGTCATGGATTTGTTTTTATTTGTCTATTTTTCTCACATCACACTGTTGCATTAAAGATGCTATAGCAATGACAATATTTTTTTGAAAAGGCTAAGAGTTTTTTGTTCTACTTAAACATACAAATTCTGACTTGGTCAGACGCTCGCTTGTTCTCCTCCCAAGCTCCCATGAAGTTTCTTTTCTTCCTAGTTTTTTTACTATCAACTCTCCTCAAGTATGACTTTGACTGATTTTAAAAGATTATGAATTTTGAAAACCAAGAGGTGCCTGCAAGTTTTGTGGTGCAATGTTTTGTATGTAGAAATTCACCAAAATCAATTAAAATCCATCCAAATTAGTAATAATTCGTAATAGAAATTCACGAAATGTTTGAGAGCATCATTATTTTCATTGTCCTGGGACCGGTTTAGTTCTTACTCAAAATTGGTGGAACCGTTATAAAAATTTTAACTAATGAAATCGGTTCGGTTCTTATGTAAAAAATCAAGAACCGTTATGGAACCGAACCATTACTAAACGGTTCGGTTCTTGCTTTTATCGGTTTCTCGAATATTTTTTTCTTATCTAGTGAATTAGCACATTATCTGATTTCTTCCACATAAATATATATGTAAAAAAATCAAAACACAAGTACTAAAAGTTTATTTAAAGTAATTAATAAGAGATATCCGAAAATAATTAAAGTACTCAGAATAATACTTGGAGAGATAATTGTATGTAGTGTATTCAATGTATTCAGCTTCATCGTTCTTCCAAGAGTTACATGAATTTATAATACAAAATTGAGACAAGAAATATTCGAGCGACGTGGTCACCATGCCTGAACTGACGCGCCACCATCCTCTGATTTGTAGGACTGGCATGATTGCGAGTTGACCCGTGATCTCCGAGATTTGTTGTTGGTCACGTAGCTTCTCGGAAGTAGCATCATGCATGTGCGATGGTCTAAGCGCTTGTGCACCACGCGTGTAGAGGTGCGCCATGTGATGCTTAGCATGCCACATGCAAATCCCATGGTAGAGGTAAGAATGTGTCATGCTCAGCATGTCATGTCTAAGCCTCATTGTAAAGATAAAATCACGTCATGCTCAGCGCGCCATATCTTTGTAAATGTGACTCCATGTTTCTCATCCCGAGTATGCTGACCATGTATTTCCTTGGGCCTGATGTCCCTATTCGTCTCGTCCATCTCATTTACGGGCTCAGCCCGCATTCAATCGAGCTTAACATATTGGGCCGACATTTATGTCATCACAAGCCCCCACTCCCCGAGCCGAGTAATAAATCGGTGAGAGGAAGTATACATCAACTACTCAAATAAAATCATATTATGCCACATAAGACCACCATTTCATCTGTGTTAAGCACGTTCATCCCGAGCGCGTCGCTTAGAGTAGTATGCCAATGATCCTCACTTCTGTCTGTGTTGAGCATGTCACCCCTAGGGTGTTACACCAAGAAATAAATAAGTTGTACATGTTGACCACGGCACCCCCAAGGCCTGCTGAGCATGTCACTCATAATGTTTTACACCAAGTAATAAATAAGTTGTACATGTTGACCACGGCACCCCCAAGGCCTGCTGAGCATGTCACTCATAATGTTTTACACCAAGTAATAAATAAGTAATACATGCTGGCCATGGTACCCCCACGGCCTGCTGAGCATGTCACTCATAATGTGTTACATCAAGTAATAAATAAACCGGACACGCTGACCATGTCACCACCCCCAAGGCCTGTTGAGCACATCGTCCCTGAGACTCGTCAAGCATGTCTCTCATAAGGTGTTATATCGAGTAATAAATAAACCGTACACGCTGACCATGTCACTCCAGAGGTATGCTGAGCATGTCAACCATAAGGTGTTACACCAAATAATAAATGAATGTCCATGCTGAGCATGCTACTCAGGTACGTAGTACACCAACGATCTTCATTTTTCCATGCTGACCGTGTTACCCGAAAAATAATCTCATGGTGAGCATGTCACTCATAATGTGTTACACCAATAATTACACCTTACATGCTGACCATGTTATCTCAAGGCATGTTGAGCATGTACTTCAAAGTAGAGAACGAATAACCTTTAATTCGTACATGGTGAGCATGTACGTTACTCCATCTTCTCATCCCAGGGTCATTTTGCCAAGGCTTACCATGTCATTATGTGGAGTATTATTTACCTAGTCATTTTTATCCAATCATTAATTTAGAGAGACATGTAATTCATGGTTGACTCAATTGTTTTTCATTTTTGAAGGACCAAAATACCAAGTCAGAATTCATCATAACATGTAATTTTATACTATTAACCGAATATTGTTCATGTTCTAAGAACTCCAACAGTCCAACCTAGTAGACACACCGCGAAGGACATGCTGCTGTCGTGCCGGAGTGCCTCGCCGCCGCCCCAGAAACTCTGACCGCCACTGACTGCCGCTGCCCGTAAAACTGAACGTCGATGCCGCTGCTCTGAAGAAGTTCGTCCCATCTCCGGAGGAACAGATTCGCCGGCCTATTGAACCGCCGGAGGCCCGGAACAGCACACCCACTGCGCCTTTACGTTACTTCCCGTCATGGGATACAACCTTTGGCGTCGTTGTCTTCTCTCATAGACCCCGGAACGCGGCCGGAGAAAGTGGCAGCTCCTCCTTCGTACTGCAAGCGGCTGACGAGGTCGAGAGTTTGGCGCAACACCGCATCAGCCGTCACTGCCGACTGCTGTATCCCTTCTTTCCTGGTTCGCGCCGCCGCCTATCTGGGCGGTCTTCACCGCTCTGTCCTCGTATTTTGTTGCTGCTGCGTGTGGAGCTTCTCCTGAGCCGTCCATTCCTCCAGAGAAAGGTAAATTCTTTCCACCTTATCCTCTTATTTTGACTTCTTTTCAATTTTGACTTCTTTTTTAATTTTCAACTCTATTCTTAATTTTTGTTTAGTCATTCTATTTTTTGTTTCTTTTATGAAGTATTCTTGTTCTTTTTTTTGGAATGTTAGAATGTAGTACGTAATTAGTCATTACTGTCGAATTGCCTTTTTAGAAGATGATTTCCCTTTTCTTTGTAGATAACTAGTTATTGAATTTTATTTTGTAATTAATTAATGATTTTTCAATTTTTTTTTGTAATTAGCTTTTGATTCCCTTTATTTTCGGTAATTAGCTGCTGAAATGTACTACCTCTGTTCTTAAATAAATGCAACATATGAAATTTTACACTATGCACATGGTCTACTCTGACTACGTTTTATTAATGTATGAATATATTTTTATGAAAAAAATATTGTTAAATTTGTCTCATTATAAATTTTCAATATCTAAATTTTTTTTTAAAACTTTTTTACTAATATGAATTTATATATATTAATGGTCAAAGTTGTGTCTCGGTAAGTGTGAAATGTTGACCGTTGCATTTATTTAAGAACGGAGAAAGTATTTTATTTTATGTTTTGCTCATTTCTATTTATTTGTATTTTAGCTTTCCGTATCTTATGGATGTACTGGACTCCATAGACTTAAGTGAACTTTCGGAACCGGTTATTGGAACGGCTTTAGAAAATGTACCTTGGATATATGATAATCCTGACATTGAGGTAGCTAGTCCAGAATCTCCAATAGTTGACTTGGTGAGACTGAAGAAATGTCGTCCTCGTGGGCTATACGTTCCTTTAGATGCGACTCACATTGAATCATGCAAATCACGACTTTCATTTTCTGAGTTTGAAAGTTATCGGGGACTTTTCCCGTCCGATGTTACCATGGTTATCCCGAACCGAGATGACATAGTCACTGAGCCCCCTGAGGGTGATTTTTTCGGGATACATACCCTCTCCGTGAGACTAGGATTTAGTCTCCCCATGCATCCTTTCATCACTGAGTTTCTATGTGAGCTTGAGATTCCTCCGTGCCAGCTCACCCCATTTGGTCATCAGTACCTGGTGGCATTTTTGGCCCGGTGTAAGGAGATCAAGGTTAAGCCGTCTCTAGATCTTTTTAAGCACCTGTTTAGGGTTGGTCAATGCTCCCGAGCTAATAGTCTGTCATGGGTATCTATTTCCCAATGTGCCCACCTTGACGCGTGGAAAGTTTCGCACAGTAGAATCAGTAATTGGAAGGAAGAATTCATCTCTGAGTCTACCGGACATGCTCTCCCCTTCCCCACAATTTTCAGCCCTCATTATAAGAAGTTTGCGTGTCTCACTCTTCCCGCCGATCAAGAGTTATGGCCGGAAAAGTTCTAAGCGGGCGGGCCGTTTAACATTTCTACATATACTACCGAGGACCATTTGAGCGGACTTGATTTCCTCACCTCGGGCTTGTGCTCACCTTTGGATGTCCTCGTCCCCCTTTCTTTAGACTCAGGTTGTCTACGCTCACCATGCTCCTTTCGAAATAAGATCTCTCCCCTGATTAACAAATTAATATATGTGTATATTATTTATTTATTCTTACAGGTATGACGTCCCGTGCGGAGAGATTCAAGAAGATGAATGGCGAAGGGTCACATGCGTCTACCCAAGACCCGCCGAGCAAGAAGCAAAAGGTTGTACCCTCCTTGCAGGGTGAAGGTGCCTCGTCCCCTTCTGTGCCCATAACTAATGGCCCGGTTACCAAAGAGACGCGGCGCATCACCTGGAGTACTAGTGGTGCTCGTGATGTCACGCTCAAGGAAGGACTGAAGAGTGTGGCTGATGGACCGTTGGAAGATGATTGTCTTCATGCCGCAGCAGAGGTAACCACTCACTTTCCTTCATAACATTGTATGTATAACATTCATAAGCATGTGTGTGTGGTCAGCGGGTATACTGTACATTACGTGCCGGGCGACCACGCCCAAATATGATTAGTAAATATTTATTTAATAGTAAGGTATATGTGTATGTGTTCATTTTTTGTATAAAGGTATGTGTGATTAATAATATATATTATATAATATTTTTTGTAGCTTGTGTTGAAGATCTCCGGGAAGAATCGTCAGCATGTTGTGCGCGAGCAAGAGCTATTAAAGCTGCTTTCTGAAGAGCGGGCTGCCCATAAGAGATTGATGAGCGAAGTGATTGAAGCTCACAAGGTCAGGGAGGCACAGGAAAGGGACGCTCACGCTGCCGAGTTAACCAAGGTCCGCGCTGAGCGGGAACACTACATTGATTCCCACCTAGAAGAGATCGCTGAACGTTGGCTGAAAACTCCCGCCGACGTCGATAGACTTGACAAAGACGGTTTACTGTGCTACAATTTGGGGGAATATACCAAACAACAGGAAATTTATGTTGTTTTGAAGGCCAAGCACGGTGCCTCATGCATTGCCGATTGGGGGCTTCCCTTTGAGATTCCTAATCCAGAGCCTGAGAATGTCGACTCTTTTTCCAGAGTCGTTCCATTGGGCGAGCTCCCTAGGGGTGCAGATCCTGATCACCCCATAACTTCCGAAGAAGTAGCAATGCTGGGGCTTTAGGTCGAGCGATCCCCTCTTTGACCATCTCCATGCCTTGGAGAGTGTTAGAGTTAGACTACCATAACGTGATCTGCATGTTTTTCTTTTTCTTTAGTACCTAATTTGTTAGATCGTTTTTTGAATTTCAAGCAAACAATTATCTTGACAATGTAATATTTCCTTTTAATATCGTTTTTTTAATATAGTTACCTATACGGGTGATCACGTTGCACACCGCGCCATGCTCAAACGGGGTGTGCACGGTCATTTTTTTTGTTGTATTATATGATGGTAAAGCGCTGAGCATAGAACTCTGTGCCTCCCCCTCCCCAAACTTCTCCTGATGTTGGATATGAGAACTTTGGTTCACTATGATGGCACCGCACATAGCTAGGGGGTTACCATGGACAGCAAAAGGCACAAGTTGTCGGGGACTCCTCCTCCTTTGCTACGTTGTGCGCATCACTCAGCAGTGACCTCAGAGCCATGTTGAGTGAGCGAACCTGATGACTAGGTTTGCATAGGGCACGCGACGTCTTTCGGGAAACATGGTCGCGCCTAGGGATTCCTATATGCGCATCCTGACCATACAACCCCAGGGTTAGGCATTGTAAGGAACTTGCCCAGGGCATACTCCTTTTTTTATGGTAACACATTGAGTGTCGCCCAAGCTTTTATTGTTATCAATACTATACTAAAATATCCTCCCATAGTGACCACAGAGGGTTTTTTTGGGTGCGAAACGTTCTCATAGTATGGTGACGGTAACGGACCGTGCACACCATAGTACTTTATTGATGAGTAGATGTTGAACTTAAATTATAGTGGTGAGATAAAACACCAAAAGAAGTATATTACTGGTAGAACTTGATTAGGTGCTCAGCATTCCAGGTCCTCTCGATCTCCTTCCCTTTAGGTGTCTGAAGTTTGAAGGTCCCCGGACGGATCACAGATTTTATGATGTAAGGACCTTCATAATTCTTTGAAAACTTTCCGCCTTCCAAGGGTTTACTCACTTCTCTTTTCCTCAAGACATAGTCTCCGACGTCAAAGTTTCATTTGCGTACCCGAGAGTCGTGGTATGCCTTGACTTGCCTTCGATAGTTCTTTGCGCGGCAGAAGGCCGCTTCTCTTCTTTCTTCAATGAAATGAAGTTCGGTTGTCATGATTTCCTCATTTATTTCCGGATCATACTCTTCTTCTCGATGGCTACAGAGCATTACCTCAGCTGGCGCCCTCGCCTCAAAACCGTAGGCAAGGGCAAATGGTGTCTCACCGGTTGCCTTCCTCAGCGTGGTCCTGTATGCCCAGAGTATCTGTGGTAGTTCCTCAGCCCACTCGCCTCCGGCTGCTACGAGCTTTTTCTTCAAACCATCCATAATTGTGCGGTTTGCAATCTCCACCCGCTCATTTGCTTGAGGGTAAGCGACCGATGCACTGCTGTGTTTGATTCCCCAACTCTCACAAAAGTCATTAAACCCAGATGCTCCGAATTGCCTCCCATTATCGGTTATGATTTGTTGGGGCACTCCGAAACGACAGAGGATGTGTTTCATGACAAATTTTTTGCATTGTCCTTCAGTGATGCTCGCCAAAGGTATCGCTTCGATCCATTTGGTAAAGTAGTCTATGGCCACAATAACCCATCTCACGCTCCCGGTCCCCCTCGGCAAGGCTCCGATAAGATCGATTCCCCATCTAGTGAATGGTATGGCCATGCTGATGGGGGTGTAATGCGTTGCTGGGCGTCCCGGAGATTTCTGAAACTCTTGGCACACGACACACCTTTTAACAAAGTGTGCACATTCTTTTACAATGGTTGGCCAGAAGAATTCTTGTAGAATTACCTTTCGTGACATGGTGTGCGCCCCTTGATGCACTGAGCATGTTCCTGCGTGTATCTCTTCCATGGCAGTCATGGCCTCATTCGGTCGTAGACACTTGAGGAGTGTGCCATTGTACGCCCTTTTATACAGCACGTCATTTAAAATCGTATAACTTGGTGCCCTCATCCTGATCACCTTGGCTTCAACCTCCTTAGCAGGCAATATTCCCTCACGAATATATTTGGTGAGGTGGTCTATCCAGTCCTCGTGTCTAGCAATTATGGTGTGCACAGGACACACATATATGCTAGAAGTGTCTAGTTCTTCCACTCTTGTGATCCTTGAAATATTCTCAGGGGTCTCTGCGCTGAGTTTGGACAGCATGTCGGCCTCAACGTTCTGTCCCCTCGAAATTTGTTCAATCTCATAAGCTATGAACAATTTTAAGAGTTCCAATGCAGCATTGTGGTACTGCCTCATGTGTTCCTCCTTTGCCTCAAATTCGCTTGTGATTTGTCCCACAACTAGCTTTGAATCACATCAGATCTTGACCTTCTCCGCCCGCATGTTCGCCGCTAGGCGCAGACCACATAACAGAGCTTCATACTCCGCTTCATTATTAGATACATTAAAATTGAACCGGATGGCATAGTAGGCCCTAAAGCCTTCGGGCGTGGTGAGGACCACTCCTCCGCCACAAGATTTGGCCGCGGAGGAGCCGTCCGTGGACAGTATCCACCACTCGGAATCATGGTCTTCATGCCTCGTCTTCGTCGCTTCTTCACGTGTTGTGCATTCCACTATGAAATCCGCAAGAGCTTGCCCTTTGACTGAAGGGTGTGGCCTCACTTCTATGTGGAATTGACTAAGGTATATTGCCCATTTGACCATCCTTGATGATGCTGTGGGACTCCTCATCAACGCGCCCAGGGGTTGGTGTGACAAAATATGGACGGGGTGAGCTTGGAAGTATTGTGCTAGTCGTTTGACTGTCCACACCACTGACAAAACAGTTTTCTCTATGGCAGTGTACCGTAGCTCAGCATCCCTCAAGGTTTTGCTGACATAGTAAACAGGTCTCTGAGCACCACCCTCCTCACGTACCAAGACAGAGCTTATTGCACTCGGGGAGACCCCCAGATATAAATAAAGGGTCTCCCCCGTCTCTGGTTTAGATAACACCGGAGGAGATAAGAAACATTGCTTCAATCCTTCGAACGAAGTTTGACACTCCTCAGTCCATATAAAACCTTTTGACTTCTTCATGATGTGGAAGAACGGTGTGGCTTTCTCAGCTAGTTTTGATAAGAAACGGTTCAGTGCTGCTAAGCGTCCTGTTAATCGCTAGACCTCTTTAACATTACGGGGAGGCTCCATGTCCAGAATGGCTTTAACCTTCTCTGGATTTGGCTCAATTCCTCTTCAGCTTACCAAGTATCCTAGAAACTTCCCGCCTTGTACCGCAAAAGTGCATTTCTTTGGATTGAGGCGTAGATTAAACTTCTCCATGATTTTGAATACCTCTGCCAAATCCATAACATGCGTGCTCGATTTTTTACTCTTCATAATCATATCATCCATGTAGGCCTCCATGGTGCGGCCTAAGACAGGTCTGAAAAGCTTAGAGATCACGCGGGTGTACGTTGCCCCAGAGTTTTTTTTAGTCCAAATGCCATGACCAAGTAACAGAAAACGCCCTCTAGTGTCATGAACGAGGTCTTCTCTGCATCCTCCTCATGCATGCAAATCTGGTGGTATCCACTGAAGGCATCCATGAAACTCATCAGCTCACACCCCGCTGTTTCGTCCACCAACTAGTCGATGTTAGGCAATGGGAATGGATCCATCGGGCATGCCTTGTTGAGATCTGTGTAATCAACACACATCCTCCATGTTGGGGGTTTAGGTTCCAATACCACGTTTGCTAACCATTCTGGGTATTTAACCTCCTTGATATGTCCGATTTTTAACAAGGTGCCCACTTCTTTCCTTACGAACTCCCACCTGTCCAAGGACATGTAACGCTTCTTTTGTTTTACCGGTTTTGACGTGGCATCCACGTCCAGGCGATGAGAGATAACGTCTTTACTGATGCCTGACATGTCTTCTGGCCCTCTTGCAAATACACCTTGATACATGGTCAGGTGGCTATGATTTCAGCGTGGAGCTCAATCCCCAATCCGGTTCCTGTCTTAATCTTCCGCTCTTGTGTTTCGGAGTCAAGGGTGACCTCCTCCGTCCCTTCTGCGGATTCAGCACGGGGCCTTTGTTCTTCATCTTGTAGATATTGTGTGGCGATAGTGTTTGCCTGGAGGTCATGACGCCCCACCTTCTTTGTGATTTTTATGTAGCATCTTCGGGCGAGCTTCTGGTTCCCGCGTGCTATCCCCACTCCGATCGGTGTTGAGAACTTAATACAGAGATGTGTCGGGGACATAATGCACTGCAAATCTTCCAGCCCCGGTCGTCCGAGTATAAGATTATGTGCACATGCCAATCGAACGACTACGAACTCCATGTCGAGTTTCACTTTGTGGGACATGTCCCCTACTTCCACCGGGACTGTGATGACTCCTTCTGCCTCGATAGAGTCACCCGTGAACCCAGACAATGGGGTCTTGATCGGATGGAGTTTTCCTTTGGACAACTTCAGTTTCTCGAAAGTGTCGATGTACATTATGTTCACGGAACTTCCCGTGTCGATCAGGGTACGGTGTATGACAAGATCATTAATCTCCATTTTGATAACCATGGCATCCCGGTGTGGGCTTGGACATGGTGGTAGGTCATCATCTGTAAAACATATAGGCTCACGTCGTACCTTTTTCTTCATTAGAGAGTGCATCATCTCGCCAATATACAATTGAAGGGCCCACTTCTTCCGAAGGGATGAAGAGTCACCACCCGCATTACCTCCATAAATGAAATTGATGTCATGGTGTCTTCTCTCCCGTTTCGGCCCTGGTTCTTTCGAGGCCTCCTCGTCGCTCTCATTCCCGATATGCCTTTTCTCTGCCATGCGTGTCTCCTGGTGCGTGCACGCCACTTGTTCTGAAGGCTTCCTCCATACATGGTTGGGTTGTTGCGTATCCCCCTTAACAAAATTATTCGAATGACTCCTTTGAATCAGTCTCTCAATCTCTCGTTTCAAGGTGAAGCACTTCTCCGTATCATGACTATCAACCCGGTGATAGCGACAATACTTTTTAGCACCAGAGACAGTGTACACTTCACCCTCTGGCCTCGGTCCTTGCATGAGACCTATACGCTCGGCATAGTACATGATCGTGCCCACCGGATGGGCTAGGGACACTGGGCTCGCATTAGAAATCTGCCTTGGACCATAATTGAAATCTTTCCTGTTTTTCTTTTGCTTTTTGTGGTGAGGGGTAG